GAAATTCCCTGTACTTTGGAGTAGTAAAAGAGGCGGGCAGTTGTGGCCCGAGTTCAGAGTCCCTTAAAGCCCTCAGCAGAATGGGGCACTTCTCCTCCCAGCCTGAGGACACCAGACTCCCTGATGCATCTGTTCAGGGTAGAGTGGGGCCCTGGGGCTGCAGAGCGTAGACCATTTGACTGCCCCATGGTTTTAAGGACTTTGGTGATGCTCGCATTTCTCCCAAGCTTCCGGTCCATCTGCTACTAGTCATGCTACTTCAGGTGTTTTGCCATGCCCTGGGCTCAGGTGTCCTGACACACGTCACTGTGGAGGGCGGTCATGGGTGCCAGGGCCGTAAGGACAGCGCTTCATGAGGTGGGAGGTGAGGTTTGCAGCTGTGCCTAGAGCCTGCGCTTTGGGACTCCAGTTGGTATATCAGGTAGACCTGAAGGTCTCCCCTATAATCTTAAACCACCTGCTTTTATCTCAGGCTGTGGGAGGGATTTGCTGAGTTTGGTAGTCACCCAGGACCTAGAGGATATAGTTGAGAAGGCACCTAGTTTCTCACCCCTTTGGCTCTGAGGGAAACAGCCCACCAGGGCCATGGCCCTGGGATTAGGGAGAAGTTGAGCTCTCTGGTCCTTTGTCCCATCTGCATAGACAAGGTGAGTCGGGGAGCGATGTTTTGGCTGCAGATATACCTGATTTGGCAGGAAGAAATAAGACCTGCTGGCTGGACCAGCCTCGTAAGGCTTGATTGCCAGGGATTATTTGTGGGAAGTAGCCCAAGCGACTGGATTCTGAATGCTAAACTGGGCTCTAATCCTTGTTGCCTTTCTGGTATTGGATTAGAAGAATATAGGGCAGGATTAGAATTGGCTGTTAACAATAACCATGACAACAATTATATGCCGGACAAGTTCACACAGGCCTGATGAGGCAGGAAGGCTGGAAGCTGCAGCCATTACTCCCCGTCTTTACTACTTGTGATACTTTTTTTTTTTATTAAGATTTTTTAATTAGGGAATTGGGGAAGGGGAACAGTGTTGGGGGATTGTCACGTCCAGCGTGGCAAGGGCAAACGGGTTTCTCTTGAGGGGCGGCGCAGATTGAATAAAGAAATAGAGACAAAAGTAAAGTTTAAGAGCAAGACCAAGGGACTCAGTCAGAAAGAAACTGAGCCCCGAATCGGGTCAGCGCATGGCTTTTAATTGAGAATTTTCAAAGAAGTAAAACTGCTGTCAATCAAATTAGCATCCGTATGAGGTCTAGGCCTCAAAGCCTTTTTCCTTTAACATATCCCATTATGTTCCAGCAAATGCTATGCCTTCGCATATCC